ATATTTTGTTTAAGAATACTTGTTAGATGGGATATTATTTCATTCACAGGTTGTTCTTGGTACCGGTCTCTCTGCTGCCTTTGATTTTAGTAAACGTTGGAAAGTTAGTGTTGTTGGCAGTCTTCCACTTGGGTAAATAAAAATCATTAACAAAAAAAAACAAAAAAAATGAGAAATATCCATTTGTTTTTTTTCAATAGAATTCCATCACCAGTTGCTCCACCTATGGCAGCTATATCAGATGTGGTAGGCGATGCAGTTGCAATAGCTATTGTATGTTTTGTAATTAATATAAGTATGGCTAAATTATTTGCAACAAAATATAAATATCAAATAAGTCCAAATCAAGAACTTTTTGCATATGCAGTTGGAAATATTGTTACTTCTTTTTTTCGTGGTTTTCCAGCTTGTGTTGCACTATCACGATGTGCTGTAGTTGAAGGAACAGGTGGAAAAACTCAAGTAAAAAACATTTTAAATTTTACAAAAAAATAACTTTTTATTATTATCATTCCTTTTTGTTTTTTGAAAGATTGTTGGACTTTTGGCATCAATAGTTGTATTAATTGTTATTCTAGCAATTGGTCAATTATTTCGTACATTACCAAATGCTTGTTTAGCAGCTATTATAGTAACAGCTATGAAAAATATGCTTTTACAAACTAAACAATTACCTATATTATGGCGTATAAATAAACTTGAATTTTTAGCTTGGATTATAACATTTTTGGGTGTTGTTTTACTTGATGTTGATTATGGTTTGTATGTTGGTGTTGCAGCAACGATTTTTCTATTAATTATTCGTACACAAAGGTAGAAAAAAAAAAAAAAGATATTTCCATCTTTTAATAATAAGAATACTTCTTGGTTTTTTTTTTCAATAGACCACATGCAACATCACTTGGTTATTTATCATCTGCTGATGTTTATGAAGATAAACATGCATATCCATCAGCAACTGATATACCAAGTATAAAAATCTTTCGTTTTGAAGAAAATATTTATTATGCTAATATTGATATGTTTAAAAAATTATTTATTAAACGTATTGATTTTCGTGTTGATGATCAAATAAAAGCAATGAATGATGAAATAATGAATATTGAACGTGAATATCAATTACGTTTAGTTAAACCAAGTAATGCACTTATGAAATTTAAACAACGTTTTCAAAAAGCAAATACAACAAATATAAATGAAACACTTACACAAGAAAGTATTGAAATAGATGAAAATAAAATAATAGAAGAAAAGAACGAAAAAGTAAAGGAATATACATAAAATGAAACTATTATCTTTCTCTTTTTTTTAAAAAAAAAAGATTGAAGAAACAAGAAAAAAATATCGACCAAATTTTGATCATATTATTATTGATTGTTCACCTGTTAATTATATGGATATGATGGGTATTAAAACATTAATACAAGTAAATGATTTTCTTAAATTAATATTCATTAAATGTATTATTTTATTTTCAGATATTTAAAGACTTCAAAGAAATCGGTGTAACTGTTCTACTTTGTCACGTTCGACGTACGTTACTATTAATTGTGTATCATTATAAAACATTTTCAATTATTTTCTTTTAGCTATTGTTTATCATCAATTGAAACGTATGAATTATATGGATGTTGCTGGTCGTGAAACTATTCATGTGTCTATCAATGATGCAGTTATGCATGCATTAAGAGCAGTATGACATACTTGGTTACTTCATTCATTGTTTTAAGTTACTTTTTTTCTTTACTATTTTAGCGTGCGTCCCGTGGTTCAATCGTCTATGTACCAGGTGCTCCAGTGACTCATATTGGTATTGAAAATGCTGCTTATGTAGATGATGAAGATGAAAATAGTGATGCAATAATAACAAGTTATTTTTAGTTCCTATTTCTATATATCAGTGACTGAATATTTCATATTTCTATACTTTTTTTGCTTGAAAATGTTATGTATAAAGCACATATTTTGTAGTACAAGTACGTCTATTTGTACTTCAAAAGCGCACTTAAGTATTGGTACTAACTACAAATGTAATCAAGCGCCTATGCTTAAGTACAAATGTACTTCCATACAATTGTTACATACTTGTCTTGCTTTTCCATTTTTGATCATTTGTATAGATGTTATTTTATGAAATATTTCTATAAAATTTAATTTCTATTTGGATCTATGGCATTTCTGCAGAACTTTCATTTGTTTGAATTTCATTCAAAACAATTCTGTATATAGTTTTGTTTAAATATTCAATGTAAGAATAGTAGTATAAATTCTAATGAAAGCATGAAAGTTTTATTGCGTAAGAGAAAAAAATTAGCAATTGACTAGCATCATAACTTTTTCTTGATACAACAACAATGACATGAATTAAAAAATAAATAAAAAAGTCACCAGTAGCACCTAATAAAAAGGAGCAGTTAATGAAAATAGTAAAATTCGTTAACTATGTAATTTACAATAAATCTTAATTAATTTCAAGAATATCAAGTCTGTAAATAATTGTTCGCTTATATTTATTCGTCGTGAAGATAAAATCAGATTAGCATCTGAAAATACTTGCTTTTACTGATGCTGATGAAACTTGAATGAAAAAAATACATACAACTAATTTGTACAAAAACCTCAGTCGAGAATGTAACTAATATTACCAGAATCTGAATATGAGAGGATCATATAAATAAGCTCCTAGCTCACTTGCAAAATCTAATGATATTAAATTATTTGAATCATCATCACTATTATCACTGTAAAAACGTAATGATGATGTTATTAAATCTTTGTTGATTTCATCAAGCGTAAGTTATATTATATTTTGTTTTAATCGATTTCAAGCATTAGTAGACATAACAGTTTTGGGTTGTTTGTGATTTATTCTTTCATATATTCATGGAAGAACTACAACACAAAGAAAAAAGGAAAGAAGAATAGAGCCAAGAATGACTGATAACAATACATGAACAGAAATGTTTACATGTGTATGCAAAAGAGAGAGGGAGAGAAACAAAAGAATAGAAAGAAGATGTTGATGATATCAAGAGCGGTCACTCACAACGATGAGTATACGATCGATGAATTCGTCACAGTAGGTAATTTCAAATCACGAACTCAATGAAATTTAAATGAAGGATCTAATACAGCTCCCATAAAATACGTTTAAAGAACCATTAAATGGATTATTCTTCTCAACATTGAATTAATTTTGCCGATTAATGATATCCGAAAATGTGTTTCAATTGATGATTAAAATTGTTAAATAGCTTTAATACAAAATAAAAGATCTTCTTTAATATCATGTAAATGGGTTATCAAATGTACAATGGCTGACATCACCAAACTTGCAGTAACAATTATGGCATGCTTCACACATAATAGAAATTCCATAAAATGGTTCTAGAATGTCAAGAATCTCGTTCAGAATTATGAGATCATTATTCGAGAATCTAACTAGACTGTCAATTTATTTATTAGTCGATACCAAATAAGTTTTTTTTCCAATCAATAGACAAAGATTTTATAAGTATGGAATCATTATTCCATCATGTCATGTTCATTTTGTTGATAAATTTGCTAACTTCGTCCAGTAAAACAGCCATTTTCGAAGGTTGTGTGTGAGAATTTCGTAAGAATTTGGTATTTGTCGAGTACTCTTGAGATGTAGGATGCATTTTTTTCAACCATCATGTATGCAGAGTTGCATGGTATATGCAATACAGAATAAGCACACTGCTGATAAACCTTCAGAGTCATCAATATTCTCACCGTAGTGCACATTTATTACTTGAAAATCATTTAATTCAATATCTTCTGCAATTAACAAAGAGTACATATAAATAATTTATGAATTGAAATTTTAACAACGAGACAACAATATTAAAAACATTAAAACCTTTTAGACGTGCATAATTAGATTCTATTCCCAAAAGAAAACTCAAAATAGTAAATATACTGACTAGTCAAAAACATGACTAGCTTTTACTGCATTGTGATGATGCCGATTAGTTATGCTTTAAAAGAACATGAAAGTGTCTCGGTGTTTGAAAAAAGGTTTCGAAAGTTCTCTCGTATAAATCGTTTTTAACTTAAACTATAGCCCTATGCACTAAAGGTAGAACTTGAATTTTAATTATTTTTTCAAAATTTTTCTAAATGTAATTATCCACTCTTATTTAATAGATATTGTATCTATACATGATTGGTGTGTGGTTGTGTA